AAATACTCATGCATCATTAGAAAAAATGAGGAGGAGCACTGTATGCTGTCAGTCATTTGTCATTTTGGCACCGGTTAGTTTAAGAGAAATTCCGGTTGTTTTACATCACTGTAATATTTCTAAGATGTGAGGATGGAAATGCTGAACTCCTCTTGGACTTTATTGGTGTAAGAGTTTTTTTTTACTGGTTTTAAAGTCAAACAACATTCTGTACTTTTGTGAAGTAAAAACATATACCATGCACAGTTCATTGCAGAATTGTTTTACAAAATAAACTATTTGGGGGGGGGAACACTAAAGGAAAAGTATTTTAAAGTTTGCACGTTTTGATTTAATTTCAGCATTTAAGTTGTAAAAAATGGTGGTAAGTAAGACACTTTGTCAACGGAACAAGACAATTTACCTTTAGAACAAGCAAATATTATTGCATTGTCTGATTTCAAGTGCATATTATCTAATTATCTTATTTAAAGAGCTAAAAAAAACTCCTTTTATTGGGAGTTCCTCTTATTTATCTGCTCAAATTAAGGCTAAATGCACTTAATTTAAGTCATTTTTACTTATTTCTTGATCGTTTTTACATTGCAGTCTGCTGCAGTTCACTCCTACCAAAAAACATCATGAATCTTAAGAACATAAAAGAAGTTCATCTTGTCAGGTGGGATCTTCTTGTAGTTTGCATTTTCAAATCCTTAAGCTAAAGCCATAGTTTATAGAGTATAAATGAATAACATCATCTCATTGTCCACCCAGCCTGGGATGTTTGAGGGCTTGCATGAGGAGGGTTGAATGAGGAGGTTTTAGGGTGTAGACGGTGGCTGGACATCCTGTCCTCATGCTTAGCTCCTTGGTTTTTGCCAAGCTTTCTGTGGTGCCACAGCAGAGCGAACTTGTTTGGTCAGCCGCCTGATTTATGGGTCTTGGTTTTTTTAATATGCTGCTTCCCAATCTCTCTCTCACACACACATCACCACAGAGCCAACTACCACAGTTTTTCACACAAAAAAAGTAGCACACGCTATGACACCTGTGTCAGCATGGTGTGTAAACTCCTTCATCGCTGCCTACTAAAATATGCAAGAGTCTTGAGTCATCCTTTACATCTTTATAATTTCCAAGGAGTCAGTCTTTCTCGTCATCTTTGTGTGCATGTGTTCAGCCAAACTTGCTTCAGGCTGTCTGGAGTTCTTTTATATTTTCATTCTTGGCTGCTTTTTTCACTCATTTACCTAATCATTATCAGAGTATTTTTTGTTGTTTGTTCATATATAACTATAAAAGCCTCCAAAATCTAGCTTCAGAGAATTTCAGGCCTAAAGATACCTTAAATGTAAGGTCCTGATCTGTCAAACATGGTTATAATTCTTTAACTGAATCAGTACCAAAATAATAAAAATAAAAAGTTTGAAGATAGGAAATTAGATTTTATCGCCAATTAGGTGATTTCACAACAGAATTAGATAAAACTTGTCATGCAGGAGATCAATGAAGGATGATTAATCTCTCGCCCCCAAGTTTTAATATTGAAAAATGGTCGAAATGTTTGTAGAAAAATGTGTTTAAAAGATTTTTTTATTTAATTGAATTTAATTCAAAACTAGTTTTCGAATCCTAAAGGGAATTAAAAAGTTGTGGTATCTCATTAGCTTTTTTTAGCATGTTGTTATATGTGTTCTTAGCTGTAGGCAGGAAGGATCTTCTGGAGAATCTCTTGCAACAATTTGTTGTTTTTTTAAAACCCTTCAGGAGAGGATGCTGACTGTCGTCCATAACGTTCTTCATTTTATGAAGGATTTTTCTTTGTGAAATCATCTCCAGAGTTTCTGGAGTCCGTAGAACAGAGCCGTCTATCTTTTTCAGCGTGCAGAGCTTCTTTAAGTCATTTATTCTCATGCTGTTACACCGGCAGAGGATGAAGAAAAGATGAGACTCTCCACAACAGACTGTTGTCAGATATGCAGCATCTCATCTAGTTATGCACACTGAACGATCTAAGCCTCCTGAGGAAGTATAGTTTGCTTTGTCCCTTCTTGTAAACAGCTTCACAGTTGCATCTCTGATTAATTCATGTTGGACCTCCAATGTCTTTATTTTGATTACATTTGAATAGAGCAATGCCCTTAAAAAATTTTTTTTTTATGTATTTATCTGTACTTTTTAAAATAAAGAAACAGTTTGTGCAGAGTTTATTTCTGTTTCTTCAAAATATAGAAATTCTTACCCTCAAAAAAATATATTTTTTTTGTTCCAAACCATTGTTTGTTCTAATTAGTACTTGTTCTAATGCTTTATGTAAAAACTGTGAAAAATCTGCCAAATGATGAACTACAGGAAGCTTGAAGAAAGTCTGGAAATGTTGAGATCAAGATTGCTGCCAAGGGCTAGATGATAAACTTTTACACAATACTGAAACCCCAGTTAATGCAGGAAACGCAAACTGTATTTTACCTTTCCTGATATACTAAAATATAAAATAATGAATGGGCACAAAAGCTCCTAAAGCTTTGTTAGGAATTTATAATATTTCCACCACCAGGTTTTCATTTTTTTCCTGGTCTTTTACATAGAGAATGAAGAGTTGAAGGGCTTCTCACACTTTAGAAGAGCCTTTCTTTCTGAAAACTTTTTCTGCCCCAAATAGCATGTTGTGTTTCACGCAAATTAATTACAGAGCCATCTGTGTGTGCATGTGGCTAAGTAACAGTAACACTTTCAGATGTTTAGCTTCTTCACTCCTCAGGGGAAATGGTAGCAAACATATAAAAATTCCACCTTGCCTCTTTGCAGGTATGCTCATACATTATGCAGCTTTTTGCTGAGATATACAACCGCTTATTCACCACACAGTGACACACATAAGTTTGCTACTGGAAATGCCTCTTCTTACACACATTTGCTACTGGGTTTACATAGAATAAACAGGTTCACTACTCTGCCACACACATACTTTCTTGCACATCTACTATAGGCTTGGTGGCCTTTGGATCATTATGTGATCCCCCATGTTGAGACAAACAGCTGTGACAGCTAATGTGTGTGAGTGTGTGCACGTATATGACTCCCCCCCACCCACCCACCTACATGGTATTTATTAGTTCTGGACAGCTGAGGTGCTCAGCAAGGTCTCTATTTAGCACCACCAGATAATTATCATGCACACATCCAAAGGCTGCGCTGAATGTGCTCAATCACTCTCATCACACATGTGATTTAGACTCTTGGTAACTTTCATACCAAATCTCCCCCTTGGTGACTTGTTAGGCTCAAAACGGTCCCTGCTGTCCTTTTAACACTTGTGCAGTGACATCAGGGCCTGGAAACCTGTTGCAGTGAAACTATAGAGCGCTGATCTTCAGTAGACAGGAGCTGAACCCTTGTCACAAAGTAAAGTGTAGTTTGTTTTCACATCTATGTTAAGATTGCAGGCTAAAAAGTTCATCTTCTGATGTGATACAATTAAAGATTTTATTTTAAATTCCTTCTTTTTTTTCCTCTTTCCTTTTTTGTTCTTATTTAGCTATAAATTACTTTTTTTAAAGTTACACTCTGCTGCTATTAGTGGCTGCACTGATATGGTTGGATGTAATGAGCAGGTCTTTGTTCCAGAGGTCCCTTGGCTGGAATTACCTTACACATACGCTCCTGCTGAAAGATGGCCTCTCAATATTAGTCGCACACAAAAGCCTGTGTTGTTCCACTCTCCTTTTACCCCTTTTCCATTGTGAGCATCTTCTGGTTTTTTGTCCTTCAAAGGTTTAATGCTAAACCCAGTTTTTCCTTTTCTGTCTGCAATTTTTGGCTTTCATAAAAAATGTGTGAAACTTTTGAAGCTTAAGTCTGTGTTCGAAAAAGAGACACACATTAGAGCGCAATGTTTACAGGGATTAGTATATTTCTTTAACAAACTGGTAAATAATAAGATTTCTTCTGTTTAAAAGGAAAATATATATTTAAATAAAAAAAAAATTTTTTTTGATGTGTTATAGGATTTATTTGTTATGTCTATTCTATTCTTTGTTGTTCTGTGATGCTATGTGTGAGAGAAAACTGCTACTGTAAAGCAGCACAACATTTAAATTAGTCCTTCTTTAACTTTTCATAGTTTATTTTAGTATTTTGTACCGATAACATCAGAGATGAGGGATTTTTCAAAAATCCAATCTTTAAAAAGATAAAACAGGGTCCTAGCGCCTGCCGTTATCTGCTGAAAGTCTGACTCTCGCTGACTCATTCACTCTGAAGAAACAGCTTACACAGACATTTGTCGTCGGTTTTTCTTATTGTGCTTCATTTGACTGATTAAAAATCTTGCCAACACTGAAACTAGAGAATGTTGTTGCTTCTTCCTTTAGTAACAGCGACTACACTGAAGAGTTGTATCAGCAAGCCCAGGTGGTTCTTTCAGTGGTGTCTTTAGTGTAAGGGAAAAAAGTGGATACTTACATTTTCCATTGCATTATTTAGGCTAATCCCACTAAAAAGCAGTGATTAAGGTGATCAGCCAATCATTAGCTCGCTATAACTCTTCATCCATATAAATAAATGATTCACCTTCCGTTTCTGAGAGGCTATTTATTCAGAAAATGTCTATTTATCAAAATAGACATCAAAAGACATCAGATTCAGCTGATTTTCTTCTCAAACATCTACAGATTAAGTCTTTTTGCTCCAATTTGGCTTGTTATTCAAAATACTCCTGAAACATTTTCCTCATAACCTTTTCTTTGTGACTTACACATGACTGATGGATTTAGTGTTTTAAACTAACTGTTTAAAATAAGCATGACTCAAGCTTTACACAGTTTATTTTCTCCTTAAACTGTTTTTCTTGGTTTGGTTTAGTCTGTTATTAACATCCTACGTTTGTATTTTTTTTCATGGACCACAATTGTGTGTATCTGGCCTGTTCTTTCTGGTGGAGTTTGGTTTTGTTCGCTTGGGTTGGGTTTGTTTATGTTTCCTCTGCTTAGCCTAACCTTGTCCTTGTCTCTATGATGCAGGTCCAGGCTGTAAGGGGAGCAGAAGGTCTCTGAGCTCCAATGCCAGTGGACATGCAGCCACATCAGGGGCTGTATTACTATGAGACCTCACCCAGCCAGCCCTCCAGAGGGTAAGACAGCAGAACAATCTTCTTCATGCTCACAGTTTTTCAGCAGCTGCAGCAGGAAATCTTGCAAGACCTGTCTCATTTTTGTTTTCATGAACAAAATCAGGTTGATACTTTGACGTTTTTGAACATATTCTATATACCTGGTTCAGTTATCAGTGCATACTAAAGCAATGTGAAGATTACAGATGTGGTTATCTGATATGGAGTAAAGACAGTTTCCACATAAGTAAGCCTTGTCCAATAGTTTGTCAGTACAAATAGCCATTGCATGGTTGCATCAAGGAAGCTAAACAGTGGTGAAGATGTTAAAGGCCTTTTGTTGGGAAAAAAGGGATGCAGGCTGGTCGGAGAACATTGGAAACTGATTATCATCTGAGATTTTAATCCATAGCCATCCCTCACGTAAACAAGAAGGCGTATGAAAAATAGAAACCACCTAGATTTGAAAAATAATAAGTCACAATTTCAGAACTTAGTGTAAACAACATGGATCCATTCTGCTTTTGTCCAGCAGTTCAGCCTGGTGTTGGTTGTTTGATGCTATGGACCATTATTTCTGGGCATCCGTTAAATGCCACAGCCCACCTAAGCTGTGTTGCACACCACATTTATCCCTTCATATCCACTGTGGACCTTAATTTTCTGATGGCTACTTCTAGCACTAAAATGGACCATATCACAAAGCTCAAGTCCTCATGCTGGTTTGTGGAACATGCCGTGAGTTCACCATAGCCCAGTGGCTATGTGTGTGTTTCCTTCTTTTTGAGTTTTCTAAAGATTATTTTAATGTTTTTATTTGCTTTATTTAGTGATTTAAATATTGATCAGGTGTTGCAGTGAGGCTCTAGCAACTGGCTCAACAAATATTGCATTCAAGCACTTCTTGAGATTTCTAATGTTGACACTGTGATGAAGGCAGTGATTTATCTATTGCTTAGCTTTGATCATAATTTTCTTTGTGGAGACACAATTATGCTGGCATCATCAGAAACATCTGTGGGAATTGTAAGATTAAGCTGCAGTCATAGCTGGTTGTTGAAAAAGTTGCTTAAATAGTTTTATTTTTTCAGTTCTAAGGGGCCTTTTGGAAAATAAACCCTCTCTGGCTATGTATTCTGAACGTCTGGCTATTTATTTAATTGACCAGAACTCTCAGCCCCTTATTCCAGGTTTTCTATAAGGCAGTTAAAACCTGTGTGGTCTTAAAAGCTATAATTTGTTTAGTGCATCCATCTTTGCATATTAACTTATTAATAAACTTAAATTTGTGCCTCCTCGTTTTGGCATAATTTTCAATACATCACATATGCATCTATTCTTAATATTACCAGTGAATGGGCAGTTTTTTTTATTCAGGCTTCAACAATTGGCATATACTAGCTTTGATTTCCATCATCCATTGTAGTTATGAGTACACATCTTTGAACCAAAAGTGATGAACTGATATCAATTCGACTTATGAAAACCTAAGGAGCGGACTAATTGCCCAACCCTACTGTAGGTGAATATAGTTTTTCCCAGACAGACCCCCGTCTGTCAGCTGAATCATTTTTGAGATTTACCGTCTCTTTTGTGAAATCCATTATGCAACTGATAGAGTATAAAAAGTTCCATCTTCTGTTTAGAACATCTGCCGCTGACAATTCAAGGCGACCACATAACATTGGTTGAAGTAAAGAAATGTCAGTGCTGAAATCAAGGCAGTTTGTCATCCAAATAAACTCTGCTTAGTAAAGGTATTTCAGCACCTTTACATTTATGATTTTGTTCCAGTCATTTGATGGAGGATGTAGGCTTTTAAAAGATATTTTTCCAACCTTCCTTACAACAGTCCTCTTTGAGGTCAAATATCTTTGTGTTTCAATGAAATATTTTGAGGACGCAGAAGGAAGATGTGCAGTTGGTTCAGTTGTTGTGGACGCAGTGCTAGCTCAGCCACACAGTTCCTCCTCTCCTATCCACCCTCGCTCCCTCCCTTGCTCATGCCACCCAGGTTGCGGGTGGACTCGGCCTCTCTGACAGCTGCTAATTACAGGCTGACCAGGCCCCGCTGCGCTCTGCATGACTGCCTCGCGCCCCACTCAGGTTACCCAGAGAGAGGGAGAATTAGGGAGAGTTGGAGAGAAAGGTGGCTGGGCAGGACAGAGGGAGAGAAACAGAGAGAGGGAGTCAGAGGAAGAGAAGATAGAACAAGACAGAAAGGATTGAAGGGGAGAGAGAGAGGGAAACTAAAAAAGTACAACTGAAGGGATGAATGGTGAAATTGAAAAGAAGGAAAAAGGGAGAATAGGGGGGTGCTCAGTGGATTAGAAAGGACAGATTAAGCTCTTGTGTGGAATACACGTTGGGAAAGAATTAGTGAGCTGAAAGGAGTAAGTGAGGATCCGGAGGAGTAAACGAGATGGAGAGATGGAAGAAAAAGGCCAGAGACAGATTTTGAGCATCACAGCATCCATTGAAATTTATGGAAAAGCTCAAAAGTTCCAAGGGCTTACCTTTTCTTCTTCTCTGGGGGAAAACCCAGATTCAAAAATTCCATAGTTTAGACCAAAATGAGAGAGATGCAACATCTAGTGGTAGGTTGAAAGCATTACAGCACGTATGAAAAAAGCATCATTAATAGGGCTCTTAGAGTCCAACTATTACAGAAGAAGTGATGTACTAATTATTCAGCAGGTGATTTACCCTCCATCTGTTTCAGTCATGTTTTTACCAGAAGCAAGGCCAAGTTAAGAAAAATAAGTTGACATCTGCTTCTTTTAGACCCTGAAATACTTCAACTAACATCATATCCTATCATACTGTTGGGTTTAAAAGTTTGCATACCCTCCCATTAAAATAACACAAAACCGAAAAAAATGTACATATATACACCTTCCCGGGTCTGCTGCAGTACTTAGTTCTTCTAAGGATAAATACACAAATTTGTTTTTTAGAGTCCGAGTTTGTTACTGTCTTTATGTGCCTCTGAAGGTTCAGCAATGAGTCCATCACTACACCCAGATTTTAAGCCTTGTATTGTCTGGTTTCTAGTTATAATGAGTCTGATTTATTAACTTTCAAATTTTCTTCCTTTGGTCCAAAAAATATTAGTCCTTTTTTTCAGCTGAGGAATATTTTGGTACATTGATGCATTTGTTTATTGCATGCATTACTCATTGCTTGGGTTCATAGTCACCTGTTGATGTCATAATGTAGAGTTGTTTATGTCTGCATAGTTATAGAAGGTGTAACGGATTAATCAACATATCTAAAGAGAAAAAGCAAAATACTGGTGTGTATCTCAATTATTAACAAAATAGTTTGTCTTTTTTCAGTAACTAGAAGTGAAACTCATGTATGATGTTAGTTCATTACACATAGAGTGCTTTATTCAAAGTGTTTTTTATTTATGTTGATGAATTTGATCAGTGTGTGACTCACCTGAGAGCCGTACAGGAAGCCTTGGATATTTTATTAGTAGCCTTCATCTTATCTCCTTGTTGGGTCTAGTGTCTGTAATATTCCTTATAACAGAGTTCCTTGAAGGCTGAGGTCAGGAGGTTCTGGTCAGTCAGCAAAGTAATACTATGGAAATGACCTCTTAAGCTCCCTCAAACTATAAATAACTATATGTTCTGCTTCATAATGTTCTTAAGGCTGTGGTCTGATCCCTGATGCTTGTGCACCTCACATTTGTTTCTCCTTCCTTTTTTCCACCTACCATTATTGCACTTGGATACAGCAGAGATGGTGTCCTTTTTAATAATGATGTAGGACATAGCATAGTGATAACCTATGCTTTTATCAAGCGGTCAGTTTTTGAAACATGTCTCTCTGTGTTGGTAATATAATGAGCTTCCATTTTTAACGAAATTTACTTAAATAAATGTCTTTTTCTAAGTTAGATGCACCTATAAGGTCTTTTTTGCCACATTTTGGCAATTTTTGAATTAAAGTTTGCAGAGATGAGTTTTATTAGTTTTAAAGTCCTTAGTTAAAGAGTTGTAAACCTCCACATTTTGATTTGGCAGATATTTTTTTACTCCAACATTTATTTGAAGCAGGCTCTCATAATTCCAGCATCTCTGTTATTTGCAGACTCGTCCCGTCGGACCAGTCTCCCTACAGCGACGTGTCTCCACTTCGAGCCCCTCTCCTCGATGGCTCTCCTCAGGACTGCCACTCCATGTACAATCCCATGTCTACCAGCATGACTCATGGATCAGGTCCAGTTCAGGGAAACAGCCACTGCTTGGATCAATATATGAGGCCCCCACAGGCCCCCCCACCGCACAGTATGATGGGCCACAGGGGCATGCCTCCCACAGAGGGTGAGTCACAGTATCTTTTTCATCCTCTTAACCTCACAGCTGCTATTGATTAGGACTTAAGGATACCTGAGAGACTGAAACTGAACCTTCACAGAAGGAATGATGAGAAGTTAGCAGTTGGCCAACTTTATTATATGCACAGACTTCAAAGGCCTTGTTCATTTAAAGGCATAATATTGAAGGCTATTTATAAAGCTGTTTATATACTCCTACAGAGTATATGTAATTAACGTCTTTTAATAATTTTTTAATTATGAATCATTTTTCAATAAGTTTCCGTAGGTTAAGCTGAGAATGTTGCAACATGAATCCATTACGTCCTCTGGGGGATAAATATGGTGTGGCACACAGGCCTGTTTCTTTTCCTCACTCCTAAAAATTTGAAAATGTTCCATTCAAGTACCGCAATTAATTTATTTATCTGTTTATTTGTCAGGGATAGTAGAATGAACATTTCTGTAAATGTGTCAGTATTAGCTATGAAGCTAGTGTTTAACTGTTGTCCCTGAGCAAGGTGTACAATGCCAACAACAATTAAATAAAAATATATAAAACTTAGAAATGTAAAAAAAAAAATTGAGGCTACCTACTTACAAGGGACGGTCATATGGTTCAAACAGAGACATTAGCATACATATGTAGAGATATTTACAAAGTAACACCCGATCCTGACATTTGGCTGAGTCATGCACCAGGAGATGGATAAGGTCTATTAAGCAATTTGTTGATTTGATTTGAACCTGCTTTTCAACTGAGTCCTCATTGTGTTAAAAGTGGAGCATTCTCTGATAGTGGGAGGGACGCTGCTCCAGATTTTGCAACCCCTGACTGAAAGAACAATCTGGCCAAAGGTGGTCCGCCGTCTGATGGGCACTGATGCACAGGATAGAAACTGGCCAATACGGAATAGCTGCTCACTTTTCTATTGCTTCCCCATATTTACAGTCAAAGCAGTAAGAATGGGGAATGTGACAAAGGCAGTAGGAGGGAACACAACCATAACATTTTACTATTGGATAAAAGCTTTAGATTTGACATCTTTCAATCAAATCCTTCTTTTAAGGCTTTCTAAGTTCTACTTATCGTTGTTGTCTGTGTACTTTGATTTTACAATAACACAGTGAGATAGACTTAAATGCACTTTTATGTTGAGCTTTTGAAATTATGTAGATATAGTAATAAAAAAAAAAAAACCTATGCAATTTTTGATTGCAAGTTTTTTTTTTTTTTTAAATGAACACAAGCCATACAGTGTAGCATTTATAAAAGCATATAGTATAAATGACCTGTGAATTTCATTTAAACTCTAAATTCTGATGCATTGTTTGAGGCTTACTTTAAACATTTAAATTGTTCTCATTTTGTGATGTTTTTCTTCCAAGACTTAACAACACTAACTACAAATATACAAAATTATGAGTTAAAAGTTTGGAATCTACATTTATGGCTGCAAAATTAGTTAACATTCATGTTGATTGTAACCAGAACAGCATTTTTTCAGTTTAATCATTTAAGGTTATTTTATTTTCTAACTTTATATAACTTGACTTCTAACTGAGTTGTAAATAAATTAATAATTAGTTTTTGTTTCTATTGTTTAATTAATCAGTTATGTTTCTTTGAAATTGTTTGTTTGAGAATATCTGACTTTTTTTCTCCATAATCCTACAGGCAGCATCAGCACCCCCTACTGTAACCAGAATAACATGATGTCATCGCATCCAAACTTCTGCCAAGTTCAGCCCAGCTCTGAGCAGATCGGCTCGGGTGATGGTGGGAAAAGTCGCTTTTTAAGAAACCAAAATCCTTTCACAAACATCTTATTTAAATGGAAAAATATATATATTTTTTTTCTTATTCTTTCAACTCAACGTTTGTTCCCTTCAGGCTCACGGTTCTCCACTCCTCGCTCCATGTTGAAGTTGAGTAAAAAGAGAGCTCTGTCCATCTCACCTCTATCTGATGCCAGTTTGGACCTGCAGACCGTCATTCGGACTTCGCCCAACTCACTGGTGGCCTTCGTTAACTCTCGCTGTAACCCCAACGGAGCTAGCTCCTATGGTCATTTGTCAGTCAGCGCCATGAGGTATAAGTCACCAATGATCCGAGTCAAACGTTCTTCTATGAGAACCACAAAAATCTGCTCACTTACATGTATTTCAAGATCACTTAGGGAAAAAAATATTATTTATATTCTGAGCAATAAATCTAAAAACAAAAGGAAAATATTCAACAAGAAAAAGCTGCAAAACTCTGATCTTATAAATTCCCACACTTAGATTACACCAGTGCTATCACCAAAGCTTGAGTTTTTCCAAGACTGATGAAGTGACGGGACAGAAGGTGGTAACAGATGCTGTCATGATACAACAATGAAAATGCTGCAGGAATTTCTGCCAAGTATTGGTTGTATTCAACATACAAAACAAACCTTTGTTATTGTTTTATATCTGGACTAAGAAATATGGTTGTGAAATTGAAAAATCTTTTCTTCCAAAAAAAGCAACCAGAGCAGTTTTAAGTCCCAAAACAGGGTTTTATATTCTAATAAAACGATTTTCAGGTAAAACTTAAAGGAAAAAAGCACAAAATACTGTACTAACAATGAAACATAGTGATGGCAGCATCGTGCTCTGAGTCTTAGCTATGTTCTTTGATTTGGAAGTTGTGCTTTAGTTGAGTGAACAGAACCATCGACAGCTCCAAATATCAGGGTTTTTTTCATGTCAGTTACAGATTATATAAAATCTCTTCATTTTAATTGGAGCATCAATATGCATCTTCAATATTTTTTTCTTTATTTTTACTTGGTTTAATCCTGTGCTTGTATTGTTAGATTCACAAATGTTGCTAGTTGACGAATAAAAGACAGGTCCAAGTCCAGTCCTCCAGAACTACCTTCCTCTAAGCTTAAGATGCTTCTCTTTTCCAACACCTCTGAACTAAGCAGCTGATTTCAGTTTCAATGTGTCATTCAGCTCAGCAGGGCCCTAGAAATAAGCCTCTCACTTGATTCAGGTGTGTTGTTGAAGAGACGCATCTAAAAGTTTCAGGATGGCTGCTCTTAAGAACTGGACTTGATCCCTGCTGGCTTAACTGTTCACTATTCTCTATTGATTTGGATTCTCCATGAGTTATTATGAATTCTTCTTTTGCTCCACAGTCCATCTCTGAGTTATTCCAGCAAAGTGAACTGCCACTCCAGACAGGGATCCATCTACGGGGGAAACGGGGGAACACCTCTGGGTGTTCACACACCAGGTCCCTGCCAGGCTTCTCGTTTACCTCCCCACAATCCAAGACTCCTCGCCCCGCCAAAGCATGGACACGTAAGATGGCTCTCAAATTAACACCACAAAGCATTAGTGTGGCTCTTGCCTCTTAATGCAATGAGAAAAAAAGATTGCATGTGTGTGCAGGAGGCTGATGTTAATAAATAGATTTTTTTTAAAGTGTGTTTTGCTTTTTTTTTTTAGCAGTTGAAAACAGAGCCAGGTCTGATAGGCATGATGGACGGCATAAATGTGAAGAACTTGGAGGAAAGGTCGGAGGGAGATGTAGCCAGTCCTTCTTCCACCGGCACTCAGGTAAAGTCCCATTCAGTAGTCACATTTACATCAAGATGCTGCAAAATACGAATGTCTGTCGGTCATAACAGCAGAAGAATGATTCACTCAAGCTAAATGAAACTGCAAATATTCTTTAGCAGGATCATCTGATCGGCCTATTGGATGGCAGAGACGACTTGGACAAGGAGGACGGGAAGCCAGAGCCAGAGGCCATCTATGAGACCAACTGTCGCTGGGAGAGCTGCAACAAGGAGTTTGACACTCAAGACCAGCTTGTTCATGTGAGACATTTTATGCTATCAGTCAGATGGAAAATAAAAGTATATAAAATGACTGCAGATGTGTCCCAAAAATGTGTCTGAAATTTTGTTTTGTTGATAATTGAGAGTTCACAATAAATTCATTTTAGTCTTTTTCCCCCCTAATCAGTTTTAATTATAGGTTTTTGTAAAAAGCAGACATTTTAATGTATTTTATGTAACAACCCAGTGCAAAGTGGTTATAGCTGTATAACTGTAAGTGGAAGCACATGATCCATGGGTTTCAGAATGTTTAAAAGAAAAAAATCTCGTAAATTGTGGTGTTCATTTGTATTCACTCCCATAAGGTAGATAGTTTATGATCGATATATTGGTGCATTTAGAGCTTTAGGTCTTTTGGAGTTTGTGTCCAACAGTTGTGTACATATTGAAACTGATATGATTTTTTTCTGACAGAATAGTGAAGTTATTTTAGATGGATAATGGGAAATGTGAGATGTATGACAGTAAGTTTAAGGTTTTTCCTCATGCATTGTTTTTCATTTCCCTCCATCTATGATTAAAACAGTTCCTGGTGTTGGAATCAGTTTTCTGCTAAGAATTGTTTTTCCTGTTTGTTATATATAATTATAATGAATATATATATAACAATTCTTAGGTAAGAAATTATGTTACATATATTATTTCAAAAAAACTGTTGAGGGTGAGGTAAATCCAATAAGAGCAGCAGGTTTTTTTCCCACCTGTTTACTATGAATTCATGTTTTTTGTACTCATCTGAACAAAGCACCTTCTTCCAAATGCATGCGAAGTCGACTCTAAGTATTGTAACAAAATCCAAGCCACTTATTGAGGCTAATGCCATCGCTTGTAAACATAATAATAATATTAAATTTGATGATAAATTGTTCAGGAAAACATGAAAAGACGACAAAATCAAGAAATGTAAGATAAAATGCTCTTGAAGTCATAGAAAATAAATCAGAATGTTTGCTATTAGAAAATGTAAGAAGCTCTTTTGGAGATTCATCCATAACTCTCATTATATTAATTTTGCTTTTTTTTTTTTTTTTATTCCTTTAGCACATCAATAATGAGCACATCCATGGAGAGAAAAAAGAGTTTGTCTGTCACTGGCAGGAGTGCTCTCGAGAGCAGAGGCCTTTCAAAGCCCAGTACATGCTTGTGGTTCACATGCGCAGACACACAGGAGAGAAGCCACACAAGTGCACTGTAAGTGAATTTGAGCTCTCTGAAATATCTTTGCTCTATATTTCTGTTCTGAGTTATGAATAAATTCCCTTTCATGAAGTTCATACCGTAATAAAAAAAAACTTCAATATAGTTCTTTAGAAGGGATCCATTTTCCTTTCACCACTAGGTGGCATGTTAGGTTAACTTGACCTCTTTTAATTTTCCAAATTAGATTGTAAAGAAAGCTATTAGGTGTTATGATTTGCAACAGGACATGAAGGGAACACAGCAAAATATGAGGAAGGAAGTGTTTTAACCAAAGGAGTGTTTTGAACCTTTTGACCTTGATATGAAATGTTGTGGGGTAGAATATTAATGTTGGGCAGGACCATGATCACATCATTCCCGCTGTGAAACATTGATGGCGGCAATATCATTGTACAGACAGGCTTTTTTTTTGTATTTTAGCAAGGTTTTGCTCAGATAAGGTCTGCCAAAAGAACTGTATTTACTAAAATATTAAGAAAAAGCCTTAGTTAGATTAAAAAAAGGTATTTGAAAAATGCTCTTTATATGGATTTTTTTTTGTTAGTTTAGTCTGCTACCTGTCTGCAGTGAGTGAACTGAAATGATTGTTTGTTTTTTTTCTCTTATAGTTTGAAGGCTGTAATAAGGCCTACTCTCGCCTGGAGAATTTGAAGACCCACTTACGCTCTCACACAGGGGAGAAACCATATGTATGTGAGCACGAGGGCTGCAATAAAGCCTTTTCCAACGCTTCAGACCGGGCAAAGCACCAGAACCGAACTCATTCCAATGAGGTACTGAGACCCAAACTATGGAAAAGTTATGAGACCTAATTAATTTGCCTGCATTAATAAAATAGTTCCATTAGGAACCCCAACCCTTTAGGAACATGTTCTACTTTTTAAATCTATTTTTCTTAGGTACTTTGCTGAGAATTTATTTGGGTGTCTTTCAGAAACCTTATGTTTGTAAGATCCCTGGTTGCACTAAAAGATACACGGATCCAAGCTCATTGCGAAAGCATGTTAAGACGGTACATGGCCCAGAGGCCCACATTACTAAGAAGCATCGTGGAGACACAGGCCCTCGACCCCCTGGCTCAACTCTGACCTCTGGAGGCCAAACATCTGAGCTGTTGCATGAAAAAGAGGAAACATGCAGGGAAGACTGCAAACTGTTAGCGCCTGAGACTGCTCTGGTCAGTGAGATACATTACGAAAATTTACTTTAGCAAAGAAAGTCAATTTGGATTTAATTCTTTATTACCTTTTAGAAGATGAAATAAAACAGTTTGTGTTTTTATTTGTCTATCAGAAATCTCAGCCGAGTCCTGGGGCTCAGTCATCTTGTAGCAGCGAACGCTCTCCACTGGGGAGCACCAACAACAACGACAGCGGTGTTGAAATGAACCTGAATGCAGCGGGAAGCTTGGATGATCTTACAGCTTTAGAAGATGGAGGTGGAGGCGGGGGAGGAGGGGAGCCAGGAACAATGGGAATGTCAGCACAGGCTCTAAAGCGGCTGGAGAACCTGAAGATTGACAAGCTAAAACAAATTCGAAGGCCGACCCCTCCTGGACGTTGTGCAAGCAACAAGCTTCCTGCCATTCCTGGTACGTATTTAAAAAAATTAAGAAATCTATAAAAACTTTAATGCATTTTATGAAAAAGTTAAACAAAATGTTTTAAATAACTTTGAAGTGGAAGGAAAAAGATACATGGTTTAAAAAAGCTCTAAAACTGAAAGTGTTGCCTACACTCATATTTAAAACCATCCCCATAACATGTTAAGTTTAATAAAAAGCAACAAATTAGTTTCAAACAATAAATGCCTAATTAATAGGACTTACTTGTATGTAATTTAATTTCAGTATAAACAGCTGTTCTGTTGAGGCCTCATAGTTTTGTTTTTGGAGATCATTATGAATGGTTGAGTTGGACAAATTGATCAATAATCAGAGACACAGCAAAAAGGCCTAGGTCCACACAATGCATTTTTTAATGGAGGAGCAAGGATGGGTTCATTACGTAGGATCTCATTAAGGCTTTTCATAAGTGGGCATTGCAAACAGGTCGAAAAGACTCAAAAACATTTTTTTTAGAATAAAAATTCACCAAAACAAAAAAATCCACCTTAAATCACCAACCCCACATTGAAACAGGGTTTTGGCATCAGTATGTAGAAGGAATACTGAATACTGTAAGTGAGTGAACACATTTGTAGAAATGTCCAGATCAGGTTCAAAACTATGCAAATAGTCATTAACACGTGTGCTCTTAAAGGTGTTAATATACAAAATCCCATACTGGGAAGATTAGGAACTGCAATAAAATGGTATGTATGTGGAAAAAGGGTTAGATAAAGAAAGTGAAGCAACAAGGATTATACCATCTACCAGCAGCCAGCAGGAAGAATCTGCAGTAGTGCTATTTTTGTACATCTAGGATGCAACCGTCTTTTACTACATAGGCTCTCCAGTTCTTTTCAATGAGGAGCATGACTGTGGTTGTTTGCTAGGAACTTCTGCAGGTGACAGCCTGGGAAATTTAGGAATAATTTAGTGTCTTAAAGGGTTAACAAGAACAATGGGAGCGCAGGTCTCTGGGGTGACCAGCCTTGTCAGACATACAGACCCAGTTTTCATCAGTTTTAACGTTAGTGCTACCAGCCAGTAGCTGCTGAGGACAACACAAGAAGTCTTGCACAGCTGTGCATCTTTTCCTAGCTTCAGACTGAAATTGCAGATATTTCCCTTGATGTCACACCACCAATTTGTGCTGCAGCTCTGGAGCTGATGCCATTAACACTGCATGAAAAGTGAGATTTTCGTCCCCGTAAACCCCCGTAAACTCCCGCAGATCTGCCTGATTTTCGTCAGTTTCCGACAATTTGCAACCCGTGCTTGTCCGCGTTTGTCGTGCCACAAATTGTCGGAAACGGACAGTGACGTAGGTGGAGAGCGATCAGCTGTACTAATGGCCCTAATTAGCATATGAATGCAGCAAACCCGCGCGGCTCGCCAGGTCTGGCTTGAATAACCTTCTCAGTATTGGCTGAAACCACTATTCTCAAACAAATGAAATCGCTCGTGATTGGCAGCAAAACCACACGTGGCCACGCCAGGCTTTAATTTTCTTACTGAGTATTGGACGGAACCACTTCTTTTTAAACAAGTGAAGTCGCTCGTGATTGGTTGGCATATATATATATTTACATATATATATTTATTCATATATATATATTTATTCATTCATATATATATATATATTCATATATTTATTCATTCATATTCTGTGTATTTATGTTATCCTACACTACTACACAATTATTATGCTACCATCAAGGACATGAATGAATTTATACAGGAAATGAACATTTGCCGGGAAGCTGTTTATGCAAAGAAAGAGCTTTATTAAAACACACACAACTATATACAACGCGTATCCAAACACATGCGTATCTAAAAATTACAACTCCGTGAACGGTCCGTTTGCTTCCTCGGGGTTGGAGGTAACAGGCAGCATTCCCTCCGAGGCAGGTCCGATGTGCAGACGCATACTGTGCGTGGCCTTGTACTTCGACATCGCTTCTAACCGGGACTGCAGCTTAACACAGAGTTCAGTGAGATCCGGCCTACGAAATGGCGGCGACCGTACAATCCATCCAGAGACACCGCCGACGACGCCATCTTCTTCGTCGGACATGAGGTCGACGGTGGCGGACTTCCAGAGTTCCATTTCCTCATCTGCTGGCACACTCTGCCTCGCCTTCAGCAGCTGAAAAAAAAAACATGAATCAGCGCACTGCATATGGACACAACACATCTATCAATGCACCTGAAAAATAGTCACCAAATAAAGTCTTACCCTCTTTCGTCTGGCCCGACTCCGAGCAGATAGCCTGGCAGCAGATAGCCTGGCGGCCTCCGCACGCAGCGTGCTGGCTAGCAACGTGTATCTGAAGCTCCTGCATACCGTCTCATAATACGTCTTACAGGCAGCTGGAAAACAATTAAATGAGAGTGGTATGAATAAAAAAATTAAAAAAAAATCAAACGCAAGTCACAGTAACAAGGAAGGAGAAAACATTAAAACAAGTCACTTACACACAATGTCGTCTTTATCAACATCGTGCAAATCCAAACAAATAGGAGGTCACCGCCTCATTGTGAGGCGACTGTAGTCTGTGAAAAAAAAAAAAAAATACAGCTATGGTCGGTATCCATCCGTATCCATGTCCTTTTACCGCAGAATGAAAGCATATTCTTTAAACCTTACCCCTGCCGGTTCATAGCGCCTGCAATTAGTCTCTGAGTTGTTAAGACGGCATAATGCTTCCTGTGAATCACAAAAAATACACTTTAGTAAAGCTTTAGGCTAGGCTGCTTTTAGCTTACCTAGCTAGGCTAGGCTGTCTTTAGCTTGCCTAGCTAAGCTAGGCTGCTTTTAGCATAGCTACCAGTAATCGAACATATTTACCGCTAGCGTGGCGTTGTGCACCCGTCTTCTCTTCCTCGAGTTCGTATATATCCCGCAAAGTTGCTCGACTGCAGATAGGGTGGCCAGATATCCGGCTTTAGGGCGGACAGTCCGGATTTTCATTGCACTGTCCGGCGTCCGGCGCTGCACCCAGCCGGACGTGTATTTGTCCTCCTTTAACCCCAGATTCCACATACTCCGTCAGCGCTCCGCCCCGCTCACGTACGGAGTACTTGTCTGTCTTCTTCTTCTTCTTGTCGAGTTTTATGGCGGTTGGCAACAAACTGTTAGTAGCATTACCGCCACTTACTGGTATGGAGTGTGGTTCGTGATGGTTTAAATATTGATCCTGATACATTCTACCCTAACTTCTTCTAAACATACATTCAAACATTCACACTTAAAAATATAAACATATTTGTGCACAGCTTTGTATATCATTCCTTCACTCACAAACACACTTACTATAATTAAATTCTATGGAATAATTTCGTTTTCTTTAGAAATCGAATAATTATTTGTATGTGTTTACTCCCTAAATTTTTCCTCAGTATATCTAATAAATTAACCTTCTCCTTAATGTCTTCAAACTCTCTTCTCATATATCTTCTCTCTTTTTCATATTTATGACATTCTAATATAACATGTTCTATGGTTTCATATTTATCACAGAAATCACATTTGCCCGTTTTATGTTTTTGTATTTTAAAAAGTGTATGATTAAGTCCTGTATGACCAAATCTTAACCTTGTTATCACTCTTTCATCCTTTCTATTTCTTCTTCCATTTCTTCTTTCTCCTACCATCTTCTGAATTTTATAAAACCATCTTCCTGTTTTATCTTCATCCCACCTTTTTTGCCAAATTTCCATAAGTTTCTCTTTAATAATACTCTTTCCTTCTGATTTACTTATTTTAACTATAAAACTAATAGAATGTTTAATTGCCCTTTTTGCCATTTTATCTGCCCTCTCGTTTCCTTCCACCCCAATATGTGCTGGAACCCACACAAATGTAACTATCAGCCCCATGTTTCGTATTCTGAACAGTGTATGATTTATTTCTAATAAAATGTCCATCCTACTATCTGTATTACTTGTCTGTCATGTAAATCAATGAGAGCTGTTCCACATCCTCCGCTCGTCACCGCCCACGTACGTCTTCTCCGTCCTTCACCGTCAAAATACGGAGCTGAGCTATTTTTTGCTCCCCTCCGGTCCGTCCAGATCAAGACCCGCTATTGCAATCGCACCAAACAGAAAAAAGAATGTAGAGAAGACCCGGTTTGTCAAATTAAATTATAGTAAAAACAGATCGGTATCTAGAAATTAGAGCATAGTTTGTATATATTCCCAAAAACTAAAACAATAAATTTAGATTTTATTTCCTGGCAAAACATTCAATTCGGTTTATCCATTAAAGAAAAAAAAATTTGGAATTTTTAATCAATATTCTAATAATTGTAACAAAGTATTATATCCATAAATGTCGCTATGCAAAATGCTCCCTCCCAATTTCAGTTGGTAGTCCCCACTGATTAATTTACTTTAACTACTATTATTATTTTATTTATTTTTATTTATTTTATTTTATTTTATACTTTGTTCCAGCCTGTGCATTTAATTTTATTTTTCAAAAGCAGGAGTTGTGATATTTCTTCTTGTATTGAAATATTTGTTATTGACTTGTTATTTGAGATTGTTATTGTTTTCTTATATATTCAATAACAAAAAAAAAAAAAAGTGGAAATCTAAAGAAAAAATTAACCATTACAGCCAACTGATTCTGATTAAAACTAATTTTTGAAGTAAATTATTTTGTGTATTTTTTTTACATAACATTTGCATACACAGTAATCTAGCGTACTTTAATTAAATAAATCAATTCAAGCTAAAATGTAAGAGTCTATAATTAGGCTATACTGAGCCTGATCTATTTCTACCATCTATTTGGGGGATATTTATTGCCACACTTTGGGCCACTTAAAACCAATTTAGCATGCTGACCTATGTCCTTATGACCACAGTGTACCAATCTTCTGATGGCTACTTCCAACAGGATAATGCGCCATGTTATAAAGTGAATCATCTCAGAATCATTTCTTGAAACTTTTCCACTTAAGTAATTGTGAATTGAGCATATTGACAGACAACATTTTATTTTTTATCTTAAATGCAAATTTAAAAAAAAATAATTACTGCTCTAAATGTATTGCTCTGTCAGCTAAAGATCTGTTTTGGTCTCTATACTTTAATTAAATAAATCAATTCAAGCTAAAATGTAAGAGGCTATACCTGATCTCTTTGTATCAGAGATTTTCTTACCCAGGGTTGCAGGGGGGGTTTTACCCCCCCCCCTGCAACCCTGGTTTGCATTTGTATAGCTCACAGCATGTGAGGTTTGCATTTGTATAGCTCACAGCATGTTCATTTACATGTTAAAGCCTCCCCTAGAATTCCATGGGGGGGAGGCATGGGGGGAACACTGCCTAAGAAATTCCACGTCAATTTCTGACAATTTACGGGAGTTTTCGTCGAAGCCTGCAAATTGCCGTATACTGCCGCTAACCTGAAGTTCCACGACAATCTACAGTGCCGTATATTGACGAAAATCCCACTTTTCATGCAGTGTAAGACCTGCAGCCTTTCTTAAGTTGATCTCTCACAGTTCAATCCTCACCTGGAGTGTTAAGTAAGGGGGAGGGTTGTGCTACGGAGCTGAAAGGTGTGGGATTCTGGAAACAAAAAGCACGCAGCTAGCACTAATTATTACATAATATCTCATTAACATAACAGATGATACATACATTTCCAGACACTATTGAAGATTAACCTTTCTTTCAGAGACATAGGTCAAAGTAACCTTTTCAGTTTAAGTTACATTTTCTTCCTTTGTTTTTCTTTAGGTTCAGGGGAGAATATGGGAATGTGTGCACCTTCTCCACTTAACCGACGAGTGATGGAGTTGTCCAACCATGAGATCGGTGTGGGAAACATAGCAAACTCCATGAATGACAGGAGAGGAAGTGGCACAAGCAGTCTAAGCTCAGCGTACACAGTCAGCCGTCGCTCCTCTATGGCATCCCCTTACCTATCCAGTAGACGCTCCAGCGACGTCTCACAAATGGGAGGGGCAGCAGGGGGCGGATGTCACCTCCTCAGTCCAGAACAAGCTGTGAGTGACCCTCTCTCACCCGAAACCTATCGCAGAGGAGCTCCATGTCCTGGAGGTGGAGGATTACCAGGTCTCCCCAACTTAACACCTGCTCAGCACTACAACCTAAAGGCCAAATATGCTGCAGCTACTGGTGGACCCCCACCCACTCCTTTACCTAATATGGAGCAGCCTGGAACAACAGTTAGAAGAGGAGGACCTTTGAGTGAGTACCAGGGGCAGCCCTTACCCCCTTTCCTGCAGCAAGGAGGTCCTCGGCGTCACAGTGCCAACACAGAATATGGGACTGGAGTTATCTACCCTCACCAAGCTCCAGGTAACAACACCAGGCGGGCTAGTGACCCGGTCCGATCAGTCGCAGACCCCCAAGCTCCACCTAAACGCTTTAACAGCCTCAATAACGTGGCAATGATGGGTCGCAGAAATGCACTACAACTTCGTAGCTCTGACAGCAGTCTTTCCCGCCACATGTACTCTCCTCGGCCACCTAGCATCACAGAAAACGTAATGATGGAAGCTATAGGTATGGAGCCCCATCTCAACACTGGCAATACCAGGGATCGTTCCATGATGATGACTTCTGCAGAGAGAAATTTGATGGGTTACCAGCAACAGAATCAGACAATGGTAGGTGGAGGTCCGCTTTCAAATCAGCTGTCCCCGAGCATTGACTCTCTGGCTTGCCCAGACCCCGGTTACATGCAAAGACAATACCAAGGACATGGAGAGGTCCTTCCCAGAGCTAGTGGGAATCCATTAGGACAAGTGAGACCTACACCACAAGATGGAATGTCAAATACACTTCTCCAACAGGCTGAGTATTGTATGAGCACCTGCCAGCTGAGTCCTTCAGGCCTGCATTACCGAGGCGTAGGTCAGGGCAGCGACAGTGGAGGTCCATGGAGTGACAACCAAATCCAATCTTCAAGCCATGCAAGTCAGAACCAGCAATCAGTGCAGTACTCAGATTCCAGTCTGCAGCCTCAACACACCCAAGCTCACTTCAACAATCAGACAACTCTCTATAACAATCCCGATGGCACTCCTAAACCTTTCATCAAGCCCGAGCAGCAGTTTCACTCTGGTATGGGTGGTGGAGATGCCTGTCAGAGTGCTAAACTCCGACAGCAACAAAACCTCTTGCAGCAAACACAGGCTTACCCCCAACAGAGTAGCCAAGTCATCATGAGGAACTCTAGCCATCCCAGCTGTGACTTTCAAGGGCAGAACCCAAATTCATATGCCAGTGGAGGGGGCTTAAGTTTGGGCTGTGCTGGTTCAGCGCTTTCAGAGGGCCAAAGGTCAGAAACCCCAATGATGCAGGTCAAGGAAATAATGGTGAGAAATTATGTTCAATCCCAGCAAGCCCTCATGTGGGAGCAGCAACAAGAACAAGAGCAACAGAATGGTATGAAGCCACCTTCTCTCTCTGACAACATGGGCTTGAGTGCTCAAACAGCAATGATGCAGCGCAGTCCAGAGCACCAAAATCAGAACCCATATTCCAACCAGATGTATCCCTCTTATCCAGAACGTAATCTGGTCATGAGCCCTGCTGCCCAGAGCCGAGGATCAGCTTCTGGTACACCTAAAGATCCGCACCTGACAGGTTTCCAAGGTACATGCTATAATCAGGAAATGGTGGTACCCAGGCCTCCTCAGGGTCGTAAGCCTCTTAGCCGCCAGAATAGCCTGCCACAGGTAGGTGGAGGTTACCTTGGCAGCGCCCCCCACCTCAGTCCTGTCCACTCCACTTCCAGCCCAAGACGAGGGGTGCGACTTCCACCGGTCCAGCATTCCCAGCACCCCCAAAATGAAATGTTTTCTCCCTCAAATAATAACAACAACAACATGTATTACACGGGTCAGATAAATCTGCAAATGGAGAAACAGCGGGACCTCCAGAACGGCCCTTGCCATAACCAGGCAAACAATATGGGGCCAAACATGGACCCAGTAGGTGACACAAAATCTGCCCCTATGGCCCCCTATCCGGAGTCTAGTCCTATCTCAAATGCATTAGAAAATCTGGACCTGGAGAATGCTCGCATTGACTTTACCTCCATCATCGATGAAGCTGATTCTTCCTCGTTTAGTCCAGTCAACAATCCCCTTCAGGGTAATCCAGGATCTTCCTCACAGGCTTCTTCCCGCCTCACCACCCCACAGACTTCAGTCAGCCTGGCTCCAGGAAATGGCCTGTCCAACATGGCTGTGGGTGACATGACCTCCATGCTAACCTCACTGGCTGGGGAAAATAAGTACCTGAACACTCTGTCTTAGAGAACTCTTGGGCAGCTCAGCGTGTACTAGCTAAAGACAAGCAATAAACACTGGCCTTGGCCCTGCATGTGTTTTAAAGATGAATTCTGTCACTTTGAGAGATTTAGAGTAAAGGTTTAGCCAGACCAGAACAACTTTAAAGTGGAGCACATCATAAGATGTTTCAAATATTAAAATGATATAAACTGCCTGTATCTTTAAAACCAGCTGTAGCTCACTAAAAGGAATAAAAAAAAATGAAATCACATATAAAAAAATATGCAAGTCACCATCAGAAACCTTAAACCAAAGGTGCCAGCTTGTTCTTCATTTATGATTTTTCCCATGCTGCCTTGGTACGGTTCTTCTGTGCCTTAGTGTAAGACAAGAACCTGTTTTTTGATCTGAACATATGATGCTGAACAGTTTTTTTATCAATCAAAAAGGGCTATGGCAACAGTGGAACCAGGAAGGATTTATGTAAATATGTTTTATATATATATATATAAAAAATGTGTATACGACAATGAGACATTGAATGGTTGTCTTTTGATAGTTTGCCTTATAGTTTGCTTGAAGCTCAATGTCCAGGGGTTAGTATTTTTGCTTTGTTTGAAGAGACGAGAAAGCTATGCTTTTAGTGACTGAGAAAAGTTTCTCTGGCCTAGTAAATCTTCTGTGTTACTCTTGATTTCCTCCTTTATAGTACCAGCACAATCTGTACCAGCAGCATATCAGTATTTCTGCAGATGCACCAATGCAGAGCAATCACATGTATTGTAACCCTGCACATGTTCCTACACAGACACTCAGGACTGTTTTGAATTGTTGGTGTTCACATAACATGTACATTAAAATTACCAGACAGAGAGTTTGCACTCCACATGTTTACCTTAAGTGTTTCTAAAGCAGCTACTACTATTGTTTTTATTTCTACCAGAATGTGTGTACTCCTTTTGAGGTGCATATTATGAGCAAAGCTCAAGCATAATACATTTATTTGTTTATTGGCACCCTTCTGAAATATGTTTAAAGAGCTTTAATATAGGCCCATTTTTATTGCAGTAGCTTAGTCTTGCACTAAAAAAATCCTCTCTTAAGAGTTATTATTTAAAGCTTTTTTCATTGTAATAACCTAAAAAAGAAATGGATCAGCATCTTTCTCAATGTTGCACAGATGGAATAAAACCAACCATAAATAAAAGGAGAGATTATGAAATAAAGTTAAAGACATTACTCATGGTATTACTTTGGATAGAAGGGTCAATGGTGCTCAGGTTTCATTGTCTCTGAACCAGATGGCGTCTTAGCCACAGCTAATGGGTCAAAGTTGAAACGACACTCAAACCAATTTGATATGACAAAAGATTTTTGTTACCTGTCAGTGCATTACGCTACTAAAGGATCCTTTAAATGCATTTAAATTTAGGTGCAATATGTTTAATGCATTTCTGTCACGTTCTGTTTAATCTGATCAGAGATTGCTTCAAGTTTAGGTTGATGAACAGCAAATCTTCCAAATGTTATTGGGTCTTCATCTTTGCATTTAAATCAGTGGTGTGCCTACATAATCAAACTGACACAACATGTTTTATTTGCTAAATTCTGCTACTGTATTTGTCCATCTGCCATTTTCATACCTGTGTTGGTTAATGTCGCTCTTTCATAATAGTTATGAGACCTTTCCACCGCCTCTACCTTAACTATCCATAGTAATGCTGATTTCTCAAAAGATTAGGGCTGCACACTGATTGAGCCTTTGCAAGGGACTGAAGCCAACTACCAGCAGAAGAAATTACAAAGTAAAAGCTTCTTAGCAAAGTTAAACTTGGGAAAATAATAATACAAATACTTTTTAAAGATAATATTGTTTTTATAATCAGTTCTAGCAAAAGTTAGAATTGAAAAATGAACAGACCTGCTTAGAACAGGCTGTTTATTTTGTCTTTGTTGTCTCGTTTACACATCTAACTGCACGTTTCTGTCATATCATATTTACTTGAATGAAAACGGAACAATCATGCAACATTAAACAGGAATCCCCAGCCTCTGTGGTCGTCTTTAAAAAGAGCAGCACACAAAATGTTATTTTAAAGTGTACCATCAATTGGCTTTGATGAATAAATATAATTTTTCAGTATGAGATTTTGCTACTGCAATAAAAGAAGCAAGTATTCTAAGCTTTTTACATGTTTCTTTTTCCAATAAATATGGCCAGCGATGTAAGTAGGAACACTGATGCACATATATTTAAACACATTGCATTTTCTCTACATCAACTTAACCACCAGCTCACACAGTACTCAGCTGAAGGTGATGGGTAGCGAGGATACAGAATTCACGCGTAATCGTTTCCTGTATTTTAGAACCTGAGGTACATTCATAGGACTACTGCACTTTGGCTGTAATCCCAAAAAAGCCTAAACCAGCTACCACTGTTGTTTATTGTTTATCAGGTACAGAGAGGTACTTTGTGCAACTGTTTACCTGTATTCCAACCAGTTCCAACTGTAGCTCCCTGTTTCTTTTAGTAACTCATTTAGTAGCCTCATTTAGAAAACAAACAGAATTTTTACAGTGACTCAGAATCGGAGCTTTCTAAAGCTCCGCAGGCCACAAAGTGTTTCACAAAGCATAAATAGCCAACTGATCATTAAAGTGTCCCTTCAGGACTTATGGCAATTAATATTTGCTCATTTTGGAACAAGTGCACAACGTACCAAAGACTCAAGGTAACAGAGGAAGAGATGCACAAATAGAGTATTACAGCTCAACACTAACACTAGCATCAAGTGCATCATCTTTAGTTGTTAGTGCTGTCATTTAGAATGTATGATAAGTGTTGTATAAAATTGTTTTATGAACCTTATGGTTGTTGCCCTCCTTGTGTGTGCGTGTGCTCGTCTTTTTTCTTTGTTTTCCTATTTGTAACTGTTATCCTTCATTCTGACTTTTTTGCTGGCAAAAGATTATCACCTTTAGCAAAAGAAAGCTATTTTAGTAGCAACAACTAATAGAATAAAGTGAAGTGTTTTATTTTATGTACAATTCTTTTTTACATTTTTATACATATGTGCTATATTTTACCAGTTCATGAATAAAAGAGCAGTTTGGTATGAGTGCGGATTTTATTTTTTTTTTTATTCTTGTCACATGCTTGTCAGGACGCCAACCCGTCTTGGAGGTGGGACCCAAACTGGTTCAAAGAAGTACATGCTCTGAAGAGTTTTAAGCTAACAAAACTTTTTTTAAAATTCTGGTGCAGGACATCAACCAAACCACACCAACCAACAGAGCAATGGCAGACATGTTTCTTATATAGAGGGGGAACTAAATTGGAAGAAACCACTTTAAAAAGGATGTTCAGCTTCACAATAACAAGAAAAAAGGACAATTTGTTTTAAACAAACAGCTAATTAAGAAATACTTTTACCAATAAACACAGAAAACAAATATTTCAATCAACCCAAACAAATACTTAAACTCAATATAGAAAACACCATACATCAGATCAACCTCCCCCCCTTCAATTATCAAATGGTGCAGTCCTGTACACACCTGCATGGAGAGTGAAACAGCAGAGGCGAGTATTTCACAAAGTTTTAACTCTTTAATCCATGAATATCCCTTTTATGAAGTGAAATCAATTTATCTTTTTACAAAAATGAAAACAAGATGTGGCCAACCAAAGAACCACAACCTAAACAAATCCACTTCACCCAAAACAACAAAAATAAACCAATGTAGAAAACCAGATGCTTTGCTTAGCTGCTACTTTAGCCAATATACAGGTAACAATGGCTCATTGTTACAATTCTATTTGCTAATTTTGTCACCATAAACGTAACTATAGATCTTTCCGAGGTGACTTATAGAGGCCCAATGGAAAGTGAAAAGTAATATTGACTTTATCACGTCTTAAATGTATAGTAAATACCATTTACTGAACTTGTTTCTAGATAGATGCTAACATATCTTTGGTTGCACTGCACATAAAGTCAACTTCAAACCTGTAAGATTTTTAATATAGATTTTGGGAAATTTTAATTGAAGGTAAAATAAATTATGGCTGTAAAAATCAGATCAATCAATTATTGAAACATTTTCTACTAACTAACCTAGTAATCAATTAATCGTCCACTGCAGTAAATAGACTCTAAAACAGGCCTTTAGCCAACAGAGCAACCCACTTAGAGCAGTAATTATACCAAAATTGAAAAGAAATTTGAATTCAGTTTTGCATTTTACCAAAAAAAACAAAACAAAAACATTTTTGTCCGTAAATATGCACTACCGAGAGCTCCTCAAGTGTAAAGTTTTAGACTTAAGACTCAACCTTATTTATCACTTGGGATTATTCCTTTAGGGAAATTCTGGTTCCAGTTGGTTATATAGAGTACAAAGATTCGAAGAAAAATACCACTGAGATAAAATATGACAGACAATATGAAAAGAGTGTATATAGTAAAAAAAGGATATTATAAAACGAAAAAAGTTTTAATGTCCTTGAATATGTTTCCCTTAGATATAAAAATATCTGCACAGTGAGAGCTAAGGGATGACTACATAGTAGTTGACTTGGGTTATTGCACTTGCACTGTAGAAATATACTGACCATATAAATAATTTAAAAAGTACACAGACTACACAGTGGTTAATTTCACCTGGTTTAATTCTAGGAATCTTTTGCTGTCCAATTATTAATAATCGACAGATTAATGGATTAGAAAAATAATCTTTAGTTGTAGCCCTAAAATAAATGCATTCCATGATAATTATTTTCAGGACCTTATTATTGGTTTACATTAAATAATTTATTTGGATATATTTATATAGCATATTATCTAATGAAACATTTAATCTGGTGTGATATTTTTTTTATCATATCGGTTCACCTTTTAAAAATTATGACGGGTAAAGCAGTGGGTTTGGTTATAGATTTATAAGGTAATTAGTCTGTACTTGACCTGCTAAGCAGGTTGATACGCCAGATGTTAGAGTCCATTTAATGAGTAAAAGTAATAGTTTTTCATTGTGCAGTGTAACACAGAGATCTTTTTCCAGGCAGATGTTTTAAGTAATATATTTTAAAATATGGATGATGGTTGGATGGGAAAATGTATACATTTTAAATGCAATTAATATATTCTCATGGCTTGCTTTTTATACTAACAATCATTTTTATTTTAATGTAAAATAATACATTTTTAATGACATTCTATTTTGGGTTGTGGCCATGAGGACCCTTATCAGACTGCTTGTTCTTGTGGGTGAACTATTGCAGGAATTCCTTTTCTCCTGTAGAGGGCGGTACAACCCGAGAAAAAAAGAGTACCATTCAGCTTCATTCACACCATCCTTAACTATGTTATCATTACATGGTGTTTTGTTGTGTTGGATTACATACCCATTTGTTGACATATCCACACAGGTGGGTTGTTAAACTGCAGTGTGTGTTCATCTTCCTTTTTTTTTTTTTTTTATCAAATTGATAATCCAGGAAGGATTCATTTTGTTCTTTGGACAAACTGGAAAACCCCTTGTTATGAATTAAAATAAGAGCACATAGCAGCCTGTTAGGGGCTACAGTCACGTGCTACAGTCAGCTGCCAAGATTGAGTGAATGAGCTTTCAAAGTGGCTGTTCTTGATTACATCAGTGCCTGGACTGACTCTCTGTGGTCAGTTGAAACTCTCACTAGTGCCCACTAACTGATGAACGATGTAGGAAAGAAAAACTAAAACCTGTTTTGTAAAATGCTATCAGCCACACCCTGTGTCTTTTATTAAAGTGCATAAGGGAAAATGGCCTTAATTGGAGTGTGTGTGAAAACATCATAAAGCATCCATAAAAGCAGTCTCCAATCTTTTTGAATTTAAAATGATGTCAGTTTTATTTGTAACCTCTGCATCACACAGGCTAAGCTCTTTAAACTTGCCATACTACTTGAGACATTCTGCAAAAACAGTGCAGAGATAACACTATATAATCTGTAATTTCCAAATACAATAACGTGTTAATGATATATCAGAAATATTTGTCAAATTAAATCATAGATAAAGCACCATAGTTACTCTTTAATTATAAATAATGTGGATTAAAGAATATAATACCTGTGAGACAATTAAGCTTTTGCTCTGACAAAATCAACTTTTCTACAGCCTCATGTCATTTCAAATTTGTTCAATTTAAGTCTGATATTTGTAAGAAAGGCTTTAAAAGTTTAACAGAAAATATGGTCGCTAGCTTCACTTTCTACAGCAGTGAATTGTTTTTGGGTTCAGGGGCCCCAGTGTGCTCAGACTGTTGGCATTGTGGTGTTGCGGCATGGCATAGTGGACCCACAGCAGCCACTACTGCCTGGCAGTGGTGCTAAAAGCTGACTCATTTGCTCCAAGGCAAAGGGGAAGTTTTCCTGACGGACTATTGATTTGCAATCTGGCATGTCCACATTCGATTTATAACAATAGCAACGTTTCCACAAAGGAATCCCATTAAAATTGTGTTTAAAGGATAGGGGGAAGTTGGCAGGGTAATAAAGAACAGAAGAGTCCCATTTTTATAGGTTTGGATGAGATGGACTCCACACATTTGAGAAAATATCAGATCAGGTAATAACTGAGCTAGCTGCCACTACAGGCCTGTACCCAACTTAAAGACAGTGGGGGGCGGGGGTCTCAATGTATAGAGTTGTGGTGAAAAAATGTGGATTACATAAAAAACTGTCCACTTGATGAAACAAACATAGTAGACATAGTAAAAAGTTTTAAATTCAGTTGCCCTTTTTTAGCTTCTATGTAGACTTGGTCTGGATTTCAACTTTAACATTTTGGCTTTACCTTTTTTTTTTTTTTTTTTTTTTACATGTAATGACATAGTTCAGACGGCAGTTTGTGGTTTTGTCTTAAGGTTAGATTTAACAATTTAAGTGCTTATAGAAACTGTTAGATAACCAGTTTACTTTACCTTGTCATTATACAGTGTGAAAGGTGCTGATGTAGGTAAAAACTGTGCCAATTTTTATTTTTATTTTTTACCTTTTTCTACTGCAATAAATATAATAGACTTCAATTCAAGGCTTTTGCAAACATCTCAAACAGGGGTGGCAATAATTGTGAGAGGTCTTTTAAAGATATGCACTACAGTAATTTTTGGTGAATGTTCTGATGTAATATTAGTTAAATCTGTTGGAACATACAGAGGCAGGTTGCTTTACACCTTTATCCAATCCTTGTGTAAAAAGATACAGAATCAATGCAAAAATCAGACTTATTGATGTTTTGTTTTATTTTGTTCAATGTTTTGTCCCTTCTATATTAACTTTACATAAATCTGAGTGGTTAATGTTTACAAAACCGGAAGTCCATTTAACCCAAGAAAAAAAAAAGTAGTTCACAAATTTTATCATAATTAAGGGG